GCAGCCATCCACTACTCCATTACTGAAGAACTTCCAGCATATGATTTCAACTGTGGATTTGGCTACAGTTCTCAAAAGTCAATCTGTCGCTGGGAACACGATAGCCAGCTGGACCTGAGATGGGCCGTCCTCACCAGCAAAACAGGGCCCATTCAGGACCACACAGGTAAAGTAGGGTTAACAAGTGATCCAGTGACAAGTGGGAAAAAATAAATATTGCATTTAAAATAGAAGACTTGCTAGGGAACATTTATGTTAATTCAGCTTTGTACTGATGAAAAGGATGGCACCATTTCAAATCTTGTCCTAGAATTACTAGATTTAATTACTGTACACAGTCCTCCTGGTGCCTTTAAGTGTACATGTATCTTCCTAAGCTTGCAAGAACACTTAACTTCAGCTATTTCTAAAGATGCTTTTAGAAGCCTCATTATCAGGTGGGAATCCTTGTATAGTAAGATCTGAGGCCTGCTATCTACTTGTTTCTCAGGGCAAAAACCTTCTGAACAAAGGGTGACATTGTGACCCATGTCTCAATTATTCATTCCCTTTTTTCATTTATGTAGATAGTCAGATGTACTAGAAATGAACCTCTCTTCCCCATTTCCATTTTCTACCCCCATCCCCGTTTTACTTAATGAGAATGACAAGGAAATTGGGCTCCTTAAATTTTGAGACAGTTCAATTGAATCTTGAGACAAGTAGATTTAGTTTTAAGGGGTAGGAAAAAACTTTAAATACTTTGACTATGAATGGCACTCTACAAATAAACGGCATCAAATTAGGCAAAAGGCAGTTAGCTGAAATGAAGGCTGTAATAATGGCAAAAATTGATGCAAAGTAAAATGAAATGACTCAGTAAGAACTGACATTGAAGGGAGGTTAAAAGCCATGTTAGCCAAGGACTGACAGAATCTAAAAGGCATGCATAAGTTGAGCTGTAATTAAGACAAAAAAGGCAGAGTTCTTGACCCAGAGTTGCAATAATATTCTTGAAATGAAAAATATTTGAACTTTGCCATGAGTGTCTGGAGACAAGCACAACTTGTCCTCTCATTGAAGGGTTGGGGTGGGGCAGAATGGCATCTCTTAAATGAGATTTTGTCAGCATAAGACATTAGGTACTTTTCACATTCTAAAACTATAATATGAAAACAGATGCACAGGGAGATGTACATACATACATACATACATGCACATGCACACACACAAACATACCTGATATCTTTTTTTTGTTGTTGTTATTGCTTAACCTCATCTTCATGGTGCCACTGTTTAAAGGAACAAGTCAGTTGCTATTCCTGCACTTTTCTACCTAGAAGAGCCATTTGACACGTTCTCCCCTGAAAAAGGGGTTGACAATATATGGAAATGAATACATGAATTGGTTGATTACAGAGGAGCTGCGAAGGATTATTTCAAAAATTGCAGGCTGGGATGCAGAGAGACAGAAGTGGTGGGGTTCTTTTGAAAAATCCACTCTCACATACAAGAGCTAACTCCCATACAATACAACTGGACTAGGATGTACACAAACAGCAGCTAAGGTATCCCTTTAGGGCATGTTTCTCAACCTTGAAGCTTTAAGGCGTGTGGACTTCAACTCCCAGAATTCCCCAGCCAGCATAGTTGAAGTCCACAAACCTTAAAGTTTCAAGGTTGAGAAACACTGCTTTAAGGCCTGGAAATATACCAGATAGCCATGTTCTCTCCTGCTCATTCCTTCCCTGTCCCAACCATTGGTTCTTCTCCTTTTGTGGTGGTGAAGAGAAACCCAATGCTTTACCCAGCAAGGAGAAGGAGGGAGCTGATGAAGACGGGGTGCTATGTCTCCCAGTGCCCAGGGGGATCTGAAGACATGCATTTGTGGTCTGGTGGCAACATTAACAACAACTTTCATGGTTTCCCCTGCTTTAAAGTACAGAAGAAGCAATGGCTAAGGGATGCTTCAGGATATCATTCCATCCACAAATGGAAGCAAACTTCCAAAATTCACATTAACTTCCTAAAGTAATGCGAGAGAGAGAGTTATCTGTTCTTCTTCTTTTTAATGTGGATTCCTATTCCATGACTTACTACAGCTTCATGCAAAGTGTATATTTTATGATGAATTGCATTTCAAATGTGTACATATTTTATAAGCATTTTATCATGTAAGAAACACATATAGTACAAATAGAAAGCGGATGGGATAAATTGACTTGGGCAGAAACATGTTTTAATATCTCCACTTTACTACCCCGCCCATTCCTTCATGATAATCTATCCACGCTGTTACCAAAATGATGCCTTAACATTTAATAAATCGGGAACATTCGTGCCTTAACAAATTTCAGTTTGGTGGAGATTGGAGAAAGGCATACCCATAGATGCCAGAATATTTCTCAATATACTGTTCAGTTGCAGCTTTTTAGAAGAAGCCTGTACACCTTGTAATGCTTGAGGTTTATCAGATTAAAGGGAGTCAAAACTGGGTCATTGTTTCTAATGCAGTGTTTTGTCACAATAGGAGATGGCAATTTTATTTATTCCCAAGCTGATGAAAACCAGAAAGGCAAAATTGTCCGCCTTATCAGCCCCATCATCAACCTGCAAAATTCTGCACTTTGCATGACTTTCTGGTATCATATGTCGGGCCCTCACGTCGGCACGCTAAGAATCAAACTGCGGTACCACACCCCTAAAGTATACGATCGGGTCTTATGGATGCTAAGTGGAAATCAGGGAAACTGCTGGAAGGAAGGTCGGGTTCTTCTCCACAAATCTGTGAAACATTATCAGGTAGGCCAAGTAATTTGAGCATAAAAAGGATTGGGCTCAATAGCATTACATGCACTGTGCATGATTGAAGTCCCACGTTAAGTTGTCTGTCATGGAGAAAAAGCTGCTGCACTAAAATGAGAACCAGAGCAACAGAGATCTGAGTTCGATTTGCTTGATTAAGATACCCATGGAGTGATCACTGGGCCCCAGGCAAAGCAAAGTGGGAACCCTGAGCTTAGGTGAGCAAGGATTACTTGGAAACAGAGAGAGAACATGCAAATCGATAGCGCATAATTAATTACATAGTCTAGCCCCCAATCTTACATCACTAATGAGGCAAATACCTGGACCTGAACCTTGAGGCTGGTGCTTGGTTTTTCTGTTTCCCTGATCTGCCTCACTGAGAAGCTCCCGACTGAACATGCTGTTGATTGCAATAAGGGGGGCCAACTTCACGCTCGGCAGATTTAGCCTCATATCTTCTTCTTTGCTTCTATGCCTCAGGGTCAACGGTGGTTAGTTGCAGCATCAGAAAGCATGCTGCATTCCTTGCTTGTTGTTTGTGTTACATCGATGAATATGCTCTATTAATATTAAGACCAATTTCTTGTTTTCTTTGCTGTGCTAGCTAAGATTAAAATTTAGACTTCTAAACCTCACAGTCAGAATCTTCATTTTAAATGCTAATTAGGAAAGGGTTGAATTGGAACCTCTTGCATGCAAAATATAAGGTGTCCTGCTGACCCTCTGCTTTCTTTTTTGACCCTTTCTATCACACGCACTTCTACCACTCCTTCCTTCATGCCCCTTGGAGTGCTGGTTGTTCCCTCATAAACTGATACATTTGTATGACATCTTGAGCCTTGATAGATACCAGAAGACTGGTCTCTTCAATGCATGCCTGCTTAAAATGTCAGTAACTAGTCTTTGTTCTGGCTGTTAGAGTTTTAACCAGCACAATGCAATTTAATTTTACCAGGTAATGGTGGAAGGAGAAATAGGAAAGGGAAATGGAGGAATTGCAGTTGATGATATTAACTTTGACAGCCACATAACACAGGAAGAATGTCGAAGTAAGTATGATTTGCTAGCAACTATCTAACCTACCATACAGAACACTATGAATTCGAGTGGTGGTGGTGGTGGTGGTTTATTATTATTATTATTATTTCCACCTTTTTTATATCCAACTCAAGCCAGGGAACATACCTAGATATAACGTACAGGTTATAGCAATATCATTAATAGATGTTGGATCCTATGTTGTCAGTAGTTAATTATTTACCTGTATTTTTTTCCTACCATGTATCTTTTGTACATCTCTTGTGAACAAGTTACCCCAAGAGCCTAGTCCTGTGCAAAACTAGATGATTTCAATGAGTTTAATCATGCTTGATTTTGCACAGGGTATAGCTTAAGTAAGCTTAAGCAAGCTTCATAGGTGACCAGGGGTTTGGACACAAAGCTCTTTTCTTCTAACTCGGTCTACCATCTGATTGCAATGAAACTAAGTTGATTTGTCATGAAAGTTTTAGTTGGTGAGGCTGCAATCCTATGATATCCCTGCCAGTCCCAGAATAGGGTACAATAAAGCCACCCAACATTACAAAGTTAAAACCAATCAAAATTATTAAAGGTGAAAGCTTCTGATTGGACTGTGAAAAGAACAACAGAATGCCCAATAGTTTAGCCAAAAGTGTGAGTATAAAGATTGACACTAAACTTGTCTATAGGCTAATTTTGAAATTAATTTCACATGCTTTTGGTCATTCAGGTCAAAATCTTATCAGAGAAGAGTTTAAGCAGCAGATTTCTGTTCTAAAATCCTTATATTTGCACTGCAGTTAACATAATTATTTTTCATGGCTAAAGGATACTTATGACTGATTAATAGCATTGGGTTCCAAGATTATAAATGCAATGAATGAAACATGATAATTTTATGTATGGATTTTCATTTCTCAGAGACAAAAATCTCCTGCTGATAACTCTAAAAGTGTGCCATGTTATGGTAGAGAGAGGACTTTTTGTCTTCTTTGCTAATTTTGGAGAATCAAGTTAATGAACAGCTCTGTCAAACCAACATAATTATGCTTAGAGAAGGAAGAAAAATTCTCAACATCATTATTGCCAGCATGATAACCAGTCAGTATTTGTCACTGTAATAATCAATGTCGATTCTCTTTGCTCAACAGAATCAAATGACACAGGGAATGAAATAGTTGAAGTAGAGCCAGATATTAATCAAACAGGTAAAATATGCTTTAGTTAAAAATTAACTTGATTTTCATGTGAATCTTAGCATAATTTGAATTTATTTTAACCTATATAGATGATTGATTGTGCCATCAAGTCGGAGTTGTCTCTTAGTAATCACATAGATAGATTTGCTCCATGACAATCTATCCCTAACCTGGTCCTTCAACTCTTCCAATGGTGCACCCATCACCGCTGTCACTGAGTCCATCCACCTTATATAGATGACCCATTCTATAAAGTCATACAGAGTTTATTACTAACACATCGATATTGTTTAAATGTTTTGCATTTTTTAATGTAGGAGAGGAATAAAAGCAGATAATATAATAACCAGTAATAGGGTGAGGGTTAGGCTTAGTTTTTTAGGACATAGCAGGTACACCAAAAGCATCATTATCCATTGCTTACATTGTTTTTACCAAAATAGTCATGTTCCAAACACATCAGCAGTTGCATGAGTAGAATGCATTGTACAGGGTGGCAAAACAAGGACGTATTTTCCTTTCATCTGGCCTGGAGACAGGTCCCAATACTTTTAACTCAAGCTTGTTATTCTTCAGGAAGAAACATTAGAGAACAAAACTGCAACAAGTCCAACTGATTATTGGCAATTTACAGAATATATACTAGCCCAAACCTCAGAGCAAGTTCAATTAATCTCCCAAAATTGCGTTAGAATAAAAGGGGGCAAAAGTTGAATGGATACAAAGCTTCCTAACATGCATTTTCAAAGTCTCCTAAATCGCTTGTGCATAGCATTCAGAGGGTCTCAAGACCATTGCTCAATCACCTAGAACTAGAATTCTCAAACCTGAACCTTTAAAGCCTTTTACATCAACTGTACTGCTAGTTCCTAAGCCTTTAGCAAAGGAGCCATTTCAAAATCTCTCTGCAAACAGACAGGGGCAGACATCTGTTAAAATTTGTTTTTTCCAGCTGCCTGCACCTTCATAAAGAAAGATTAAATAAATCAGAAAGGAAGAAAATGAGTGGCTCCACTACTACTACCCCTAGCGCTACTATCCCTTGGTTCAGCTCCACCCAGCTTTAGACGGAAACCCTTAACAGCTTACTACTCAGGGGATATATCTCTTAATAGTTGCCTACTCTTGCATTAGCTGTAGATGAGGATTTTTGTAGATTTCTTTATATTGATGCAGTGCTGAAATCCAATGTGCAAATTTTGGAAAAATCTATTCCTCTGAAAAAGTGCTTTTGTAATATTCTGCGTTATTCTCAGGGTACTTAAGAGTTTATTTCAAAGTACTCTTGATGATCTTTTTGAACTTACTTTGGAGATGCCAGAGAGACTATTGCTAGGATTACGCATCTTTCCATCATTCTGAAGTTTCTCCTGCTGCCTGTTTCCCAGCCTTGAAATGACACTTGAAAAGGGGTTCAAGGAATTTAACTTAATGGAAACTGGGAGAGGCTGCAGTTTGCTGGAGAGATTATTGTATAACGAAGGACAGGATATTCTTCTTTTTTGAGGGGGCAGGGAAGCAAATTCTATTTCACAAAATCAAATGTAGAATTTTTCTGCAATGCACTACTCTAAACTGCTGTACAATTTGAGTTTTACCTAGTCTTCCTGTCTTACGTATCAAGACAAAGACAAAGATAAATTTGTTCTAGCTCTTGGAGACAGGAAAAAAGACTTCCCTATTTCCATGATGAGGAACTGGAGATAAAAAGCATTTTCTGCAACGTAGTCCATAACTGTCCTTCCAGGGCATGGATAAAATGTGAAAAACAGAAACAAAAATCAGCCCCTTAATTTAATGCTTAAATTTTAGACACTAAATTTAGTGCCTACATGTGGATAAAAATATATAAAGATTCTTAGATATTAAGAAATACAGACACACACACACACACACACACACACAGGTAGTCCTCACTTAGTGACTGTTTGATTAACGACAGTTCAAAGTTATGATGGCCTGCTTTACAACCTGTACTCGCACTTATGACCATTGCAAACTGTTGCACCACCTCCCACAGTCACATGATCACAATTTGTGACCTTTTTATGACAGTCATTAAGCAAATCACCGTGGTCATTAAGCAAATCATGTAGTTGTTAAGCGAATTCCAGCAAAAAACATCCATTGGAGAAGTTGGAATCGTTTAACAACCACATGATTCGCTTATCGACCATGGTGGTATGCTTAATGGCCATCGTAAAACTGGTCATAAAATCGGGTCCAGTCACGTGGTAACTCGCTTAATGACAACCCCACTTAACTACCAATTTTACGGTCCCTAATGTTGTTGTTAAGTGAGGACTACCTGTATATACACACACACGCGCATGCACACACACACACAGTACAACAATGCTGAGAAATAAAGAGGTTTCCAATTGGTCAGAATCAGTGACCAGTTTAAGTCATAAACTTACAGCATTTCCCCACATCTCCACCCAAGTTTGTCTATCTTCCTTTCTTCCTTACTGGGTCCTGTTTACCCAGCTTTGGGTACATTGTCATCCCATGATTTCTCTATCTCCTTGTATAGGATTTACTCCTGATTACCGTGAAAATGGGGAGCCTTATAATGACAACATCTCCAGAAAGCCAGGCAACGTGCTGAAAACGCTTGACCCCATTCTCATCACCATCATCGCTATGAGTGCCCTGGGTGTGCTTCTGGGGGCCATCTGTGGCGTCATTCTGTACTGCGCCTGTTGGCACAATGGCATGTCTGATAGGAACTTATCTGCACTGGAGAACTACAATTTTGAACTTGTGGATGGTGTGAAATTAAAAAAAGATAAACTGAACACACAGAATACTTACTCAGAGGCATGAAGATAGAGGAGGAGGAAGAAGAGGAGGAGGAGGAGGAGGAGCTAAACATTTCAAACAATTGAGACAGAAAGACATATAGCTAGCTTATGCTGGGGAACTGTGGATCTCCTTTTACTGTACAGGCTGAAAACTGCGTTGAAGACGCTGAACCAGGCCTTTCTCAGGAGCTTCAGTGGGTGTAACAGATATACTAAGACATGGACAACAATCTGTGTTAAACAATCTGAATCATGTACAGTCTTCTTCTGTTTCTGTTTTAATTTGAAATATTCAAATGCTGGTGTTGAGACCAAGTATGATTGACTTAAGAGGGGTGTTCTGTTTTGGTTTTGCCTTTTTTCTTCTTTCTTCTTCCCTTGGCCCCTCCTTGCTTTGTTTTCTTTCCTTCTGTCTCCCCACCCCACCCTGGGCCCGTAAGTCCTTTTATTTTTTTACTGTGCAAAAATCCAAGATGCTGTCAAAACATGTATTTTGGCAGGAGTCCTTTGGATGGACATCCTGTTTGTAGCTCAGTGCCCAGAAGGAAGAATATCAGAGTAACAGCGACTTCATGGATTCCTGATACTGTATTTGTGTATAATTGCTTGTGTTGTGCATAGGCAAAGGAGGGTTAGGGTGTTTGTTTTGGGGGGTGGGGAAGTACTGTATGGTCAGTACTGGTATAGTGTGTCAACTCTGTTAACCAAGCAATACGGTCAGAATTTATTGGTGTTTCTCAGTGTTGTACTCCACTTTTGTGCTTGTGAATTCCATACAAGAGATACGTGCCATCACCTACAAATAACTGGCAAACCAAGCGTCCTGCATCAAACTGTAACGAAAACAAAGCAAAAGTCCTTGGCACTGGCTAGTTTATGTCCTCTCAAGTGCCTTTTTGTTGTATTGCTCCTCACTGGATTAACATTAATTCCCTCTTTGTCTCTCTCCATCCTTCTCTCTCTCTCTCTCGTCCTTGCCCTTAGTTCTACTCCTACTGACTAACAAGAAAGTATATTTTAGTGTAAGTCAAACCTTGGGAAGGCAAGGGCTAACAATATCTTGGCAACTCGGCAGCTAATTCCTTCACTTCCTGTTTTTCAATTTAATGTTGCTGACCCCTTGTTCTAAAAAGCTGCGGTTTTGTTCCTGTCCTTCTACCTATTCTTGTTCTTTCATACAGAATGTATTTTCAAATATAAGGCCTGTCGCTTTCTTTTGCTCCCCCTCTCTTGTCTCTGAATAGATTGTTACATAAGCATTTGCCACTGTCAAGGTAAGGAAAATGCAGCTTTAATTTGCTGGTAATGGCAAAAAAAAAAAAAAAAGAAGGATTTTATTACATTTTTGTCTTTTCTTTTATCGCTGTATTTGAAAATAAGGGAAATGTCTTAATGTTACCTTCCAGAGTTGAACTTTGGGTTTCTTTTTAGCAGCATAATCTGACAGTATCTTTATTTTTTTTTTCCTCCTTTAGTAAGCCATGAAGTAAGTCTTTTAATTCTGTCCAGAATATTCATATAAATTGATGGCAATGAGAATTTGTTGTTGATGTTGAAGAGCAAAGAATGTTTTTCCATCTACTATCCTAGGTATCCAATTTAAGGGTAATTATTTCTGTGCAGGACTCATTCATGCTAATGTAGAGGCATACTAATATTGCTACAAATAGTGCTGCATTGGCTTTGCTAGTAATGGATTTGCTTAAAAAAAAAAATCGATGTATAACATATCCTAAACTGGATGTAAAATATGGCAGAATGAGTACTCTTAACATTCTGATGAGAAGGGAATCTGGGGCCAGACAGTCCTTCCGTTCACTCAGGCAGCACAGTCTATACAACTTGTGTATTTCCTGACTTTCAGGAGCAGCTGATTCAAGATTGAAAAGTAATGTCTATGAAAGAAATTGACAACAGTAGCCATGTTTAAAGAATTAAATTAATCTCCAAAAGACACAGCAGGGTCTTAAAGATCTTAAGTGATAACAAGCATTCAGGGCATCATAAACTGATTTTGTCACATTGTTTTACATGGTATTCAAATGCACCTTTGATTAAAAAGAGCTGGTATTCGCCACACCAGAGCAAACATTTAACAACTCTGCTCTTGTTGTTGTAAATATGAGTTGTCATCCAAAGAAGGTTTACTAAAGTAAAATATATACCATGAAAAAAAAAATCACCCTGACAAAGATAGTACATGAATCAGTTGTTTAAGTTATCCAATTTACACTGTAATCAAATGCTCTACTAGTTAATTATCCCAAAGAGAAGATCAAATGCAAATAATTTTTTACTGCACATCTTTCTTTAGTTGTATCATGTGATTATTGACTCTATGTTAGAGTTGCTAATCACATGGGCATCTTAAGATCTGTGACAAAAGTGCGTACAAACATTATTTAAGAGGGGCAGATTTCATTGCAAAGGCATGTACTTCCTAGAACTCAAAAAGCAACAGATGCAATATTAATCTTGGTATTGAAAAGGGATTTTTTAACAATTTGTGCACATATGAACCAAATCTGCTGCCTACTAAATCAGACTGTTGGTCTACGGAACTCAGTACTGACTATTCTGATAGGCAGCAGTTCCCAGGATTTCTCAAACTAAGTCTCATCTTTCTTAATTTACTTGTATGAAGTGTTTTAAAACTAGAGATGCTGGTGACTGAATCTTTGTGTATAAAGATGTGCTCTAACATTGGGTTTTGATTACCATTGGATATCATCAATTCATTATTCAACTCTTCAATTACTTTCAGTTAATTCTCTAAACCGTCTCTACTGAAGACCATTGGGTTTGAGTTGATACTGGATAACATGAAAGCTGCATCTTGGGTTCAGGCATATTGAGTAGTCACATTATGCTACTGTAGAACAGATGAAAAGCATACATGTGTGAGCCATCCCAGTCACCACTCTTGAGTTGAGTACAATCTGTACCATTATTGCGTTTACTTAGCACAAACAAATGTGTTAAGTATTGTACAGAACCCAAAGTAGGCATTTTCACTACATCAGAGGAACTAATGAGTAGATGGAGAATTTGTGACTGTCCAGATGTTGGGCTCCAATTTCCATTAACCTAAGTTAATTAGACTTGATGTTGTAGTAAAAGTTTCAGAAGAGCACAGGTCTCACACTCTTCATCTAAAAATACAGTCCGGTTAGTGTTTATTCACAATCAGTCCCACTGTATTCGGTGAGATTTAAGGAAAATATGGCCTGGTTACATACGTGAAGAAAGTAGACACAAGTGCTGACCTCTGACAATATAAAACATGTTAGCATGAATAGGGTCTGCATATTTCTTCTATCCCTTCCCTAGTTACAGGGAAGATCACGTTCCTGGATCCCTAAGCTAATTTTAAAATATTTCAATTTTGTTTAAATGGCTGTGGGGTTAGTTATTTGTTTTCTTGTAGCTGGAACAGAGAAAGTTTTGGCTGCAATCCATCTGGCATCACCACTGTGCACCCTCCATTTGTTTCAAAATGTGGCAGTCAGCTGAAGCAGATGACGGTGTATAAGAGCAAAGCATAGCCCATTGCAACCTTTCATTTTGTAATTCCATCCTAATGCTGCTCTCCAAGCAAAGGAGTATCTGTGACCAGGCATCTGGTAATTGTACTACAGTGTTGTCCAAACTTGGCCACTTTAAGATGCTGGCTGGGGAATTCTGGGAGTTGAAGTCCACTCATCTTAAAGTGGCCAAGTTTGGACAACACTGTTGTAGTACTACAACATCATGGAAAGCAAAGATCACATTTTTTTTTTAGCACTGAGCAAATACGCCAGAGCAGGTATGTGAACTTAGCCAGAATGCTAATTGTATGAGCAAAATAAGGAAACCCCAGTGATGTAGCTGTTTAATCCTGGAGCAGAACACTGGGTTCTGACTTCTTCAAATAGAAATTGAATGAAAACTGCCCTTCAGCAAAAGAAAAAAAATGATACTGCAACTTTAAATGAAAAAAAAAATTCTTGCACTGATAAATATATTTAAGAATTATATGTTTATAAAGTTATTAATTTGTAAAGGCAGTGTTACAAAATGTTCAGTTTATATTGTTTTAGATTGTTTCATAATTTTGAAAGTGTAAAATAACATATTTTTTTCTTTATCAAAAAAAACCTATAAAATTTCTTCTGTAGTAAAATGATTTCATTTTACTGGTATATTATTGCTTCATGTTTTGTATCATTATAAATTTTGTGCAAATTTTTTTACAGAAATTTTTTATTTTCTATGACAATATGACACTTTTAAATTGTTATTTCAAAATGAACAGCAAAGCCTTAACTTTAAATGACGTTTGTATTCTCGGACACTGAGTAGCATTAAAAGAAAAAGAAGGATTGAATTGTAATTTAAATTTGCAGACAATGACTACTACATTCCAAAGAAACAGTTGAATTAAACATTTTCATAAAATACCCATACATTCATGACTTTTATTATCCTTACAGCTCTGTCAATTTTAAAAAACATGTTAACTTTAAGACATTCTTTAAGAAATGCAATTATAATACATATACTGCATAGATTAAAACTGGCTAGCAGTGAATTCCACATTCAAAATCTACATTCAGGACCTCCAGAATATTCTACATCACATTACAGGATTGTCATTAGCTATCAAAGATTGAGGTCAAAGTTCTCCACTGAAACTCAGTTAAATTGGGGCCTCCACTAATTATGGAGAGATTTGCTTCGAATGCTTCCTTGAGAATGGAATAAGGACCAAGAAACTTTATCTGCATTCAGAGGAGTTTTTCAGTGACCTCTGCAGGCTAACAGATATGTTTGGAGTTTTGAAAGCATATTGTTGGTGCTCTCACAAAATGCCTTCCACAGGAAAGAACATGCTTGTTCCAAAAATGGCTGCCATTATAGACATAATCACTAGGCAAACGTTCTACCTATGCTTTTTTTTTTGTTGAGCTTATGGGCACTTTCAAACAATGCAGCCACCTATGAATACGAAAGATTATTGTAAAGGAAAATGATGCTACAATCTGGTTGTTTGGTTTGCAGCCTCCTATTTATGTTTTAATTAAAAGAGCCTAACAAAATTACTATTGAGTGGGCCAGGGGGCCTGGTGAAAGACAGTGAAGGTTGGTGGCCACATTGGCATTGCCCTACCTAGCTCTGACCTCAGCCCTGGATTTACCATTAAGCAAATTAATCATGTGGGTAGGACACCAAGGGAAGAGGGGCACCACAGCGTTCTTTCTCCTAGCTATCATGCCCTTAACTTATTTTGCCTTACCATCTTTGCGAGATCTGATAAAAAATAGTTTTCAATAAAGTTTTGCATTTGCATTTTTCCCTTATAACAGTTTTATTAAAAATGCAGTAAAAAGTGTTGAAAATTTGCATTTTTCCTGTTGCCCTAGTTATAAGCAAATAATTTGCTTATATTGCTTACTGCTATTTAGTGTTAAATAAATACAATTTTTTAAAAGTTTATATTTAATATAGTTGCGGGGTCTGGCCTGGAAGAAAACTCAATGTTTAAACTCTTATTTCACCTTCAGCACTTACAGAGTCTTAACATATTGTCAGTTAAGCAACGGAAGGGCTGAGGGGCACCATTCTTGGGCTGTGCCTCAGGCATCAGTGGGCCTTAATCTGGCCCTGCCTGACCTCCTGAAAAACAGAAGACTCTTAGGGCTATCCATTCTGTGACAGAGCAGTGTAGGTAAGCAGTGGGATTGACAAGGTAAGAGGTAGCAGGCTGACAAGTGAAGCAAATGGTGACTAGGCAGCATGAGACCAGCTCAGGCAAAATCAGGTCAGATAAGTCCAAGTGCTTCTTTATAAGATATATCAGATTCACATGGAATCTACTTGGCCCTAATAAAAATAGAACTGTAGTACTACTCTCTGGCCACTACCCCGCTGAAAATGGATGAAGTGATACTCCAATGAATAGGTTGGGTTTGACATTGAGTCCCTCATGCAAATTGCAATGCGTAACAACCATGCTAGTTCAAATCAAAGACCCATCTCCTCCAGCATTCTGTGCTCACAGTCCAAATCAGAAGCCATGGGGAAGCCCCCAAACAGGACACAATTCTAATAGTCTCCACTCCAGTGCCAGCTAATATGGCGCCACCTCCTGCCAATGCAAAGAGGTGCATTTACATGTTTAGAATGATTCAGGAGGAGAGGCGGTGGTGGCCCCTAAGCTTTGGCACCCTAGGGTAGTGCCTACTCAGCCTTAGCCTAAAGCTGGCCCTGGTCCACTTACACATATTCTCTTTCATTTGGCTCAGAGACAAAAGATGTAAACACTGCCATGTAATACAGGTGGTCCTCGGGGTTAAGAACGCCTGGTTTACGGATAACCCATAGTTAAGAACAGAGCCTATAGTAGCAAAATTTGAGTTAAATACACAATGATTTTAGTTCATTACACAATACTACTTATATAGTATTATACAATAATACTGTTCCAGCTTACATACAAATTTGACTTAAGGACAGGCTTTGGGAACAGAACTCATTCTTAAAGTGGGGAATACCTGTACCACTGTCACATGAGATTTATCAGTTGTGTAAGAACACCATTGTAACATTGGACTAAAACTGGGGAGACCCAAATTTAGCTTCAACTCAACCATGGAACTTATAGATAACTCCAGACTAAATCTAAACCTGTTTTACTAGGTTGTTGTAAAATGGGAAGATAGACAATCCTATTTGCTGTTTGGAGACCTTGAAGGAAACTGGAACATTAAGAAAAATCAATACCTTAAATAAGGGTCTATTGAAAAGTAGACACTAAGTACATTTTTGTTTAATGAGGCTTTTTAGAATGCTGGTGAGAATGGGAAGAAAATACAATGTTAGGGGATATTTCCATGGCCATGCTGGCTAGGAATTCTGGGGAATGTAGTCCTAGCATTACCAGATTGGGCAAAGGACATGGTAGCTCCCATGCACAGGGAACTAGGCCCTCACTGCATATACACATGAAACTTCTACTAAAATATTATCTCCCCCACAATTGAAGTGAACAGAAATGTTATGTAGGAGCAATTCCATGTGGAGAACAAAATAGCCCCAGAGCTCTAAATATAGGAAGTCCTCATTTAATGACCACAATTGGGACTGGCAAGTCAGTTGTTAAGCAAAGCAGCCACTAAGTGAAACCACGACTGTGTTTATGAACTTACTTCAGCTTTCCTTTCTTTACAGACCTGCAAAGGCTGTAAATGCAAGGATTGGTTACTTTTTCATCACCATCGTAACTGCAAATAGTTGCTAAATGAGGACTACCTGTAAGGACCATTATGGGCTCATCTACTATAGCAGCAACTAAAACAACTTGATATTTGGTATCCTCTATAGCAGTGTTTCTCAACCTTGACAACTTTAAGATGTGTGGACTTCAACTCCCATGTTGGCTGAGGAATTCTGGGAGTTGAAGTCCATGCATCTTAAAGTTGCCAAGGTTGAGAAACACTGCTCTAGACAGATAACTGAAAAAAAATCATTGTAATTAACTAATATGGGGTATAATTAACTCATATGGATAACCAGAGGCATAAAGTTCAACAGACAGGAAAAAAAAGTAAGCTTTAACTAATCATGGCCCCACAAGCTGACAAATTATTAGGCACAATGAGAGGATCTAGCAATTATCACTGTAATATGAATTTGCTAGATTGCTGGAATCAAAAATCATTCATATGAATAAATTTAGCACTTACACAACAATCAAAACCAAGCTTAGAATTGTGACTTGAGGGAAAGTGAAGATATTTTTTTAATTAGGAATCATAAAGATAGAGAAAAATTTGATTAATTAGTATTCACAATAACAAAGCTAGCAGGAAAAACAAAGGATAATGTATTAGTTAATTGAATTTTAATTTCTGAGGAAGTTCCTCATGCCAGCCTCTTAAGCAGCGTGAACTACTCCAGAGGAAACCAGAGTTTTCCATAAGTTTCTTCTCTGGAATATTGTAGAAGAAATATTCATTTTAAAACAGAGGAAGCCAACTTAAATAGCATCTAGACAAAGCAAAGAATTATGGAAAATAAAGAGGCATTGTTTCACAGCAAATAAATTTTGCTCCACAGCTATTATTGTGAGAGGTTCCTTGAAACAAATAGGGGTGCGGGCCAAGTCTCCATTTTATTCCAGAATGTGCAGTTACCACATCACAGGAATGCCCTACGGTATTCCATTCCACATTTGGCTAAGAGTCCTTAACTACTTGTGCACTAGAAAACATGACCTAGGGAAAACATATGTTTCAGAAGCTCTCAACATCTGACACATGATTTAGGCAACTTTTTCCACCTGGGTGCTTGATATTATCACCATATAATCAGCAAACGGCAGATGGTGTAGCAATCAGGTCAAGAGATGAATGGGCTGAAATATTTGGCCTGGTTTTAATTGTTGAGAAGTTGGAAGGGGCTTGTTTGTTAACTTATTTTACAGCAAATAAATATTTTAAGTTCCCCAGAGGCTCAAGATGTTTATTATTAGCTTACCTGGAGGGAAAAAAAAAGACCAAACCATTCACCACCCAAAATTACCATTTTTTCTGTTGAACCTGCTGATGTTGCTATCAGCACTGCTTCACATTTTTTGCCAGCAAGGTACCAGTTGCTATATAGAAGTAGAACCTTTTGTTTAGTACAACTTACTAAGGGCAATTAATAGAGAAAAAAATCACTGCTTTTTTTTTTTAATTGTTAAGTACAAGAAAGACTGAATAGAAACAACCCATGCAAGAAATTTCTACCATTACTATGTCTCCTACAAATATTACTTAAGAGTCATATCCATCCTTACCATGGCACAGAAGGATGCCTCCAAGAGTTCAATAAACAATTTATAGGTCATAAAAGGTTCTTTAGTAAATCCTACAATTCCCTGATAAATAATTCAATCCCTCAAACATCACGTTCAAAAGTTTAAGTAATTCAAGGAGTCATATAAAAAGACTTCCAATAATAACTCTTGGGAACATTTGCGATAAAAATGTTATGTCAGGGAAAACTTCTGCTTAGTTTTTCTGGAACAGTTGAGACTAGGAGTAACTTCTTAATGGGCTTTGGGGATCACATCCAAGCATTCTCAACAGAAAATCTGAACGCCAACTGTAGAAACACAAAGTAAGGGTTTGAAGCACTTCTGTATGACTTGGCATAAACTCAGTACAATACAGACAACAAAATTAAGCTGCGTGCTTTGTAGATTATGCTTCACAGGAATAGCTTTTGACAGCACTTTTCTTGCTGAATTCCCCTCAGCCACACACTAATTAAACTTTATGCATTTCCTAGTAACCCAAATTAAACTCTTGCAAGTCATTACTTTTGATTTGATGTCAGAGACTAGTCTATTTTCTTGTTCTGTTTCTGCAAATATTCCAATCTGCACCATCATAAAATGAAAGATG